CTATCTATCTATCTATCTATCTATCTATCTATCTATCTATCTATCTATCTATCTATCTATCTATCTATTCGGCACTTGAACCATGGTGGTAGGCCCCGGAGGTCCTCTACGACTGTTACTACTCGACGGCGGCCGACGTATACGCGTTTGGGGTCGTGATCTCGGAGCTGAGCACGCACGAGATTCCGTACTACGACCTTCGCACCGAGAAGGGTACCACTGCTCGTCACTCTCTTCCGAGGCGTGTACTAAGAGCATCAATCTAGGACTCTTGCTCTTGGATACGGCGATCATGGGTCGCGTCATGACCGGCGCGATTTCACCGACCTTTGGCAAGAGTACGCCGTCGTGGGTGCTCGCCTTGGGCAAAGCGTGCGTCGCAACATTACCGGAGCGTCGCCCGACAGCAATTCAAGTTGCGCACCGAATTCGCCAGCAAATAATGGAAACAGCCATGTAGCTCGTCCTGCTTCCTGCAGCGAAATGCGAGTTGTTTTTCGACCGGTCTAAACCCGTCACTACTTGGCAGGGATTCGTGATGACGATATATGGCAGTACGACCACGCACGTACGACGAGCGTTCGTCGCGCTGCGTCTCGTTGTTGCTGTCGAGCCACTACTACGGTGGCGCCGACTACTGTACCACCGATACACACGCGCCATCCACGCCGCTCTACGCTGAGCACCCGCTCGCGGCTCGGAGCTCGGAGCTCGGAGCTTGGAGAAAGAAAACGCCGTGTTCTTCCAGCTGGCAGAACGACGTCTCGCGTCTCTTGAAGTTGAACAAATCTTCGATTTGACAGAGTGTTGACACGCACGCAGCATGACGACCGCCGGTAGCGACGCTCGTCCGACCGAGCGCAACCCACCGTCACCGGATGACGCGGCGACCAAGCGTGGCACCAAGCGCAGCACACACGACGAGGCCATGGACGCCAAGCGGCTCTGCGCGCAGATTCGCGCCGCAAGCCGCCTCTTCCAGTGCCCCGTGTGCCTCGACACGTTCGCAGGCGCCGTCGTCGAGTGCAACGCGTGCGCCCAAGTGTTTTGCGAGGCGTGCCTCACGGTGCATACGACGAGTAATCCTTGCGCCCGTGACTCATGTATTGTCTGTCGGCACAGGCGTGTCTGGTGCGTCAATCGGGCCGCTGCCCGCTCTGTCGGTGCGACCCGACACCGACGCGGCGCAACAAGCCCGTCGAGCGGCTCGTGGCCATGCTTCCGACGCACTGCCCGTTCGAATTGGACTCCGCCCTGCTCACCCGCTCACGCGCGCGACGGCCGCACTGCACGCCCGTCCGTTGTGTACCGTATACGAACAGCCCATCTGATCGGTCCGGCTCTAGAGGTCTGTGCGCTTTCGACGTGTTCGAATTGCAGGGCCGACGATGACCCGCCGCCCTGTCGTCGTCCGCTCACCACGACCTCGGGGTCCGAACGAGCCATCTCCTTCCTCTCATCTCAAAGACACGAGTGGCTCTTGAGTAGATCCGGCACCGTGACCGGTCGTGACAGCAGCAGCGGTGCCAGCCCGCAACACCCGCTTCGAGGGCCGTCGACGCCAAGACAAAGCTAGAGGAACGGGCGACCGACGCCTGCTATTCGTCGTCGTCGTCGTCGTGTACTGGTATTCACTGTAATAAATAAGCCTACTCGATATATACTGCTAGTCCCTAATGGCTGCAACGGCTCGCTTCGTCGTTGCATCGTCGTCGTCGTCATGATGGCTTGGACGAGTGCTAGCCCTCCTGCATTCGGAGGAACTCGTCGTGTGTGTACCACAGCGTCTTCTTGGTGGCCTCGTCGAGCGAGTCGCGGCTCGGGATCGTCTCGATCTTGACGTCGTCGTCAAAGCTGATGCGCTTGCCGTGGCTACACCGGCGGACGCGTGGCACGTCGTTCTCGTCGTCGTCCTCAAGGTCTTCGACAAGCGTGAGGCGCATCGTGCTCGAGCGCGCGCTGCTGCAGGACGAGCGCACGTCGTCGTCGTCATCAAAGTACTCGGCCATGCTCGCGACCGACTTGGACCGGGCACGCATGTCGCTCTCGAGTGAGTCGGTAGCAACTTGCGAAATGGCATCGGCCAATGTCCATGAACGCGACCGATTACTCACACGGCGTGGCTTGGTTCTTTGCACCCGCCGGCAACTCTCTTGCCGTTTGTATACCAGACTTGAATAAACCGAGCTTCTCTCCCGGCCAGCCACGCCATTACTGCCGCTTCTCACTCGCTCTTTGTATGCGCTGCCAGCGCGGCCATGATAGTCGTGGTCGTCCGCGAAACCACCTTGGCGCCAGCAACCCAATGCAACTTGGGCCTCGTCCCACCGACCACCAGTCGCGACGGCGCTGTTTAGCTCGTCGAACTGCTGCTTCTCGAGTACCGGTAGGACTTGAAGCCGCTGGAAAAACCGACGCCAAGCACACATGCGTGTAGTAATTGAGCACAAAATTCGAGGTTGCTCGCTTAGTAGCCCATTACGGCGCCGAGATGGGATCGGCACTGCTGATTGGCACGGGTTCGCCTCGCCAATCTCACAAATAATCATGGTACAAGCAATGCCAACGCGGCTCGGGTGAGATCCGACGTATTGCGTACGTACCGCACAAGGGACACCTCGCCGGAAGCGGACGGCGAGATCGAACCCGGCTGGCGAAGCGATTCAGGACGTGAAAGAACGACGCAGATGCAGGCGTTCGTTGTGTTCGCTCTTCGAGGACCCTTGCGAATAAAAAAGAGTCTTGCCATGGCGTGCTCTCCTGTTGGTATTACTGCACGACAACGCGGGTATGAGTCACTCGAGGTGGCAAGCTCGCCTCGTCCGTCGCCAGAGTGGTTGGCTGAACCTGCCGTTTCGACATACACTTGCTTGGCTGAGAGGGATGTATACTCGAGTGCAGATACCCGTCGCAAAGGCAAGCTCCACGCCGAGTAGCCACGACGTGGTGGAGTAGCTTCAGGGAACCGATCACCGCTTGACACTTGACTGGCCTCGGATTGAGACGATCTTGGGAATTCGAACCTCTCATACTGAATAATAGGAGTGACCGGCTGCCGTATGCGAAAAGACAGGTTTTCACTCGGCGACCGCAATCTTCCAGCACTACGCTTTGACGAAGGACCTGGATGTTCACCTCCCGCGCCAAGATCGCCCAGCGCCTCCTGCGCCGCCTCCATGGCACCAACGCGACGCCGCTCGCCAAGCGACCTGCTCGCCCAAGCGTGACGATGGGCCGCGCCTTGGCGCTCGGCCTCGGCGGAGCTGCCGGCCTCCTGGGGTCGGCGATGGCTGTCGCCAGCCTCGAGAGCGACGACGCGGTCTTCACCAATTGGTCGGCGACGCACTCGTGCCACCCCGCCAAGGTCTACCACCCCGAGTCGCTCAAGGAGCTCATTGACATTGGTACACCGAGCCACCGACGAGGCAAAGGGTCATCATCATGATACATGGTCGTAGTCGCTACGCACCATGCGCAGCAGAAGAAGCTGCGCGTCATGGGCTCGGGCGTTAGCCCGAACGGTCTTGGCTTCTCGGACGACTCGATCCTCACCATGAGTGCGTTTGACCGCATTTTGCACGTCGACGCCGCCAAGAGCCAAGTGACGGTCGAGAGTGGCGTTGTCGTTGGCGACCTGCTCTCGCACTTGCGGTACGTTCACCTTCCACTGAACATGCGTGTATCCTTGGTCTTAGTACCCACGGGCTCACGCTCCAAAACGTGGCGTCGATCCGCGAGCAGAGCATTGCCGGCGTCACGCAGGCCGGGTGCCACGGCACGGGCGCAGCCATCCCGCCCATGGAAGAGCAGATCGTGTCGATGGAGATTTTGACGCCGTCGCAAGGCCTTTTGACCCTCGACGACCCGTCCGACCATCGGTTCCAGCTCGCCAAGTGCGGTCTCGGTGGCCTCGGCGTCGTCACCAAGCTCACATTGCAGTGCGTGCCGATGCACAAGCTGCTCGAGACGACGACCTTGTACACGCTCTCGGAACTCAAGAAGGTACACGCGTCGCTTCTTGTGGAGAACCAGCATTTGCGCTACATGTGGCTGCCGTACACGGACAAAATCGTCGTCGTCACGTGCAAGCCGTACACTGACGGGTCGCCGATTGGATCGCGAATCTCGGACGATATCGAGTTCCGGCTGGAGGAGCTTCGGGCTTTGTACAAGCAAGTCGCGACCGTGCCGGACCCGGACCACGTCAACTGGCGCTTCACACAGCTCCGCGACTCGCTCTACGCGCTCGACCCGCTCAACGCCCGGTACATTGCGCGTGTCAACGAGACCGAAGTGAGCTTCTGGGAAAAGAGCCAGGGATCGCGCGTCGCGCTCTCCGACGATGTCATTGGCTTTGACTGCGGCGGTCAGCAGCTCGTGTCGGAAGTGGCGTTCCCGTCTGCGAACGGGTCGGACTTGACGTTCATGGAAGACCTCCTCGCGCGCATCGAGCGCGACCAGATCCCCGCACACACGCCGATCGAGCAGCGCTGGACCGCGAGCAGCCGCGCGGCCATGAGCCCGGCGTCGTCGCCGCTGCAGGAGCAAGTGTTTTCGTGGGTCGGCATCATCTACTATTTGCACGAAGCGTCGCCGTCGCTCGACGCGATCAAGGACGCGTTTGTCGACTACTCCAAGCTCTTTGAAGACGTCATGGCGCCGTACGGCGCCGCCGAACATTGGGCCAAGCTCGAGTTTGCGCCGCGCAGCGCATTGGAGCGCCATGTCCTCAAGGACCGACTCCGCAGCCGCTTCCCGCTGGAGGCGTACCGCACGCTGCGTAACGAGTGGGACCCGCACCACATCTTGTCCAACGACTTTGTCGATGAGCTCTGCAGCACCGACTTGTAAGTTCTCAGCGGTCGTGTAAGACCAACGAAGAATACATTCCTCCGTGTCCAGGTTGTATGCGATTTGGGAGATTTTGTTGTCGAGACAATGTGCACGTATACAAGACACGTACAGAAAGCAAAATTGATGATGTGGATAGATGAACGGACGACACGACTCTACGCCTTGGTCTGGTTGGCGACACCGGCAATGCGAGCACGGATCTCGTCCTGGTTGCCGACGTAGTGGCCCGACAAGGGCGCGATGGCCAGCTCGTGCTGGACCGGGACGAAGTTCTCGTCGAGGTCGTACACGAGCGGGACGCCCGTCGGGATGTTGAGGCCCGTGATCGTGTCCTCCGAGATGTTGTCCAAGTGCTGGACGAGCGCGCGGAGCGAGTTGCCGTGGGCGACAATGACAATCTTCTTGCCTTCCTTGATCGAGGGCACAATCACGTCGTTCCAGTACGGCACGACGCGGACCTTGGTCGTCGCGAGCGACTCGGTGAACGGGAGCTCCTCACGCGGCACGTCAGCGTACTTGGCGTCGTTGCCCGGGTAGTACTCGCTCGACTCCTCAAGGGCCGGCGGCGGGATCGCATAGCTGCGGCGCCAGACCATGACCTGGTCAATGCCGTACTTGGCGACCGTGTCCTGCTTGTTCAGGCCCTGGAGCGCACCGTAGTGGCGCTCGTTGAGCTTCCACGAGCGCGTGACCGGGATCCACATGAGGTCGAGTTCCTCGAGCGTGTTCCAGCACGTCTTGATCGCGCGCTTGAGCACCGACGTGTAGGCCTGGTCAAAGCTGAAGCCCGCGGCCTTGAGGGCCTTGCCGGCGTCGTGCGACTCCTGCTCGCCTACATGCGCCATGAGCCACAGCCTTCATCCAGCGATGGTCGTACCCTTGGCCGAGAGCGGGACATCATGCCAGCCCGTGAACTTGTTGTCGACGTTCCACTGCGACTCGCCGTGGCGGATCAACACGATTTGGTACTTGGCCATCTTGGGTCTTGGAGGGAAATTGAAAAATGGCGAGGAAGATCCCCAAGTTTGCCTGTATTATAATATGAATAAAAATATTGTTTTATTACCGCCCATGTGACATCTCGTATACTGTAAAATGTATCGAGGTATCGCACCTAGCGCATTATAATCGGCATTGTAATGGAATGCAGAGGCGACGGAGGCGTATCCGGATACGAAGCCCGCGGCCGCCTATTGGGTCATTTTTGCCTCGCGGCGCGCCAGCTTGCCTGCGTCATCGACAACGGATTGGCTGTACCGTGCTATTCACAGTACCGTAGCGCAATTGCCCTCCATAAAGAATGCATAAAGATGCTGCCTAATGGCGCTGCATGGAGCCGCTTCAGCCATGGATGATGGAAGACAGTGGCGACACCGGGAAGTAGCCTCCATTTTGTGTTGGATGTGTCGGTGCTTTGAAATGCAACGCGATGCGACTTGGGTGTACGGGTGCAGCATTTCTTTGCGATGTGCCTTTCGACGTCGCCTATGAGATCCGTGATTGGATGCTCTTCTGCTTCTTGGCACGATAGCAGCAAACGAATACGGTAGCTTGGCAAGGGAATCGTCACCGAGATCGTCGCGAAAGCATGCGATGGAGATGCCTCACAAACGATGGCTTGAATGCCTTCACGACTGCTGCTGCGGTGGGCAGGTGCGCGCACCCGGCTGCGTATAATTCCAGTGGCTGGATTCTATGGCACGAGGACTGCGCTTGCCACGTTTCTCATGCAGCGTTTTCACGCCACCTATGGTACTTTTATGACCGTAAATGGCGTCCACATCTACTGGCCCTGTAGGTAGACACGATGCCCATGATGAGCATGGACATGACCGGTGGCTTGGTCGTCCAATCCAAAACAACGAATCTGTACACAAATGCGCACCTGCTATTCCCACGAACCGTTCTTTTAACGCTAGTACACAAGATTACCAAAGGTTGCTGCCGTAAACCGCAGTTATTTGCTTCATATATGGATCAAGGAACGAAGATGGCGAGGCCATCTCCATCAGGATCGTGTATAAAATGATACGGGTATTAAAATAACGATATTTCAAAGGAAATCACTTTATTAAGTACCTCTCACAATGAATCTTATCAGGCGATCTATTTTTAGACTGCTTGGATTTTCTCGACGGACGCGATGGCCAAGACCGCGATTCCGTCCTCGAGCCAAGGGGAAGATGCAAGTCCAAGCGGCTTCCTCCAGCCAGCGCCGTGAACATGGCGTCCTCGCCCCAGAGCTCCTCCAGCTCATCGTCCAGTACATCGCAGAGCCGACGCGAGTCTTCCGCCTCCTGCGGGCGCTGCCGCGCCGGGTCCTGGGGCCCGCGCTCTCGAGCCTCCTTGCCCTGCGGTACACGTACAGTGCATGCGAACTTTGGCCGGTTCTCCATGTTCGCTTCGTAACCCCCGGGGCGATCATCCCCCTGCTCCGCGACGCGGTCCCGATCTTCCAGGCGATCCAGATCACGTCACCCGACTTCCTCCCGACGATCGAGCGCATCGTGCTGTCATCGACCAAGATCCACATCGCGCTCTTGCTGCCGTACGAGGATTGCTTCCAAGCGGGACTTGCACTCTGCGAGCGCATTGCGTCACTGGAGCTCATGCTCTTTCCGACTGCTTTTCCGATGGCGCGCATCTGCACCTTCCTCGCGTACCTCCCCGACACGATGGAGCGCTTGACACTGCGCTGGAGCCCGCTCATGGACGTCCACGAACTCGACATGATCCTGGATGCGATCGTGCACATCAACTGCCGTTGCCTCCGAATCGTAAGCGCGTACGACCCCACGAATGCATGCCCGACCTCGGTCGTGCTCAAGCTGGCCACATACATCGAGACCCACCCGATAGAGCGCCTGTACCTCGAAGGCTTCCAGCTCTTGGACGACGCGAGTCGCGTCCTCTGCCGCGCGTTGCACCACTGTCCAACGTTGCAGAAGGTCCATTTCCGCGGCCTCTCGGACGTCTTTATGACACTGTTTGTGACGCAGCCGTTCGCGGGCCACCGCCTCCCCGCATCGCTCCGCTGCATCAAGCTCTTTCCGCTCCAGCTCAACGCCGCAACCATGGAGATTTTCCAGCAGACGCTTGCCACGTCGCAGCTCACAGCCGTCAATCTGCAGTTTGTACGCCTGTCCCAAGACGGCTGGCAGCTCTTGTGGGCCGCGCTGGCACAGCTTCGGACGCTACTGCGTCTTCATCTCGATGGCATCCAGTTTCAAAGCCTTCTCGAGTGGAACAGCATGGTGGTTGGCCTGCACAACTTGCCGCGACTCCAGCACCTGCGCCTCGACGTTGGTCTCACGCTCGACGGTGGTGCCGTGAGCCTTGCCAACCCCGTCGAGGCCCCGCTTTTCTATGCGCTCGCAACAACGCAATGCAACTTGACGTACTTGGCGCTCTGCTACGTCAGCGACCTCGAGCTTCTCGCAGCGGCGCTGACGCATATGCCCCAGCTCGAAGAGCTCGTGGTCGACTTTGTGAGCAACACGGCGCAGGTCGCTACACTGCTGCGCCTTGTGCAGGCGTCGCCGACGCTCTTGCGGGTCGCCTTTCACGAACACGCGTTCTCAATGCTGGACCTCGTGTCGCTCTTCCAGCAGCTCGTCGCTGCTAACGTTCGCTGGGTCTATTTGGATCTCTTTGCCTCCGAGACCGACGTCGACCCGAGCCGCGAGTACCGCGACGTGCTTGCTATCGCCGAGCGCCTCTGCCAAGACGTGCCGCAGTAGCGCCTGCCGGTAGTACCTCCTTGCACGTGCTATGGAACGACCAATGCACCAATTCCATTTCTCGGCAGCACGTGGAGGCAGCCGCGGTCGCCTGACGTTGTCAGGGCGTGACATCGTGGGCACATGCCACTGTTGCATTACGGACTGCGCCGGATGACCGCTGGGTTTCATCTTGCCGCTCCTGCGATTCCTGCGCATGGGCCAGCATCATGCATCATGTAGCTGTATCATCGCGTCTTCCTGCTGAGAACACGACCGTCGGCGGCCGCGGAGGGTTCGGCGATTTTAATTTAATCCTCGGTGTCGCCAGCGCCCACGCCATACAAAGCGCCATATGGACGGCCGAAGTAATAAAAAGAGCGGCGGGGGCTTGGTCCGTTTTGGGTATAAAATCCGTCTTGGCGACTGGCAGACGCATGAGCAGTGACATCCCCGTGAAGCTCGGCCACTACCGCCTGGGCGAGACGCTCGGGACGGGCTCCTTCGGGAAGGTCAAGCGTACGTTCTTCCTCGCCCTGCATGTTGAGGATCATGCTGCTGCTGCTCCATGCTAGTCGCGGAGCACGAGATCACGGGGCACAAGGTCGCGATCAAGATCCTCAACCGCAACAAGATTCGGTCGCTCGAGATGGGCGAGAAGGTTCGGCGCGAGATTAGCTTGCTCCGCAAGATGCAGCATCCCCACATTATCCGCCTCTACGAGGTCATCGACACGCCCACGGATATCTTCATGGTGCTCGAATACGTGGCTGGCGGCGAGCTCTTCGACTACATCGTGTCCAAGGGCCGCGTACGTGCTTCCTATCTATGCGTCGCAGGCTCATGGCCCATGTCTGCTAGCTGTCGCCGGACGAGGCCCGCCACTTTTTCCACCAGATCGTGTCGGGCGTCGAGTACTGCCACTTCCACCGCGTCGTCCATCGCGACCTCAAGCCTGAGAACCTCCTCCTTGACGCAGACAACAACGTCAAGATCGCCGACTTTGGCCTCTCCAACGTCATGAAGGACGGCGACTTCCTGCGCACGTCGTGTGGGTCGCCCAACTATGCGGCCCCCGAGGTCATCTCGGGCAACTTGTACGGTGGTTTGCCTACATACATATGTATGATGGACGATGGTCATTAGATATGCCGGTCCCGAGGTCGACGTCTGGTCCTGCGGTGTCATCCTCTACGCACTCCTCTGCGGCGCGCTGCCCTTTGACGACGAGAGCATTCCCAACCTCTTCAAGAAGATCCGCGGCGGCATGTACAGCCTCCCGTCGCACCTCTCGGAACATGCGCGGGACCTCATCCCGCGCATGCTCGTCGTGGACCCGATGAAGCGCATCACGATCCCAGAGATTCGGTCCGTCCAAGATGATGTGACATGCGTTGCGCCTCATGATCCGTCGTCTAGGCAGCACCCGTGGTTCCAGACCAACCTCCCGCCGTATCTGCAGCACCGCCCGAGAGCATCGAGCAAGTCGTACGACGTTTTGTGCGTGCGGCAATAGATTCTTACGCGTGCGTAGGCCATGGTGCTGGACGACGACGTGGTGAGCCAGTGCTTGGGGCTCAACTTTCCTGGCGTCTCCCGCGACGCCATTGTGCACTGCGTCCTCAACAAGGAGCACGGTCCCCTGCGCGTCGCGTACGACCTCATGCTCGACCACAAGAATGCCAAGAAGCGCATCGACGGTAGACAAGCATCCGGTGCCTACTTCTCATGGCGGGCTAGAGCTTCGGAACACAAAGAAGCTCGATATGACACCCAAGACGTTTTCGCAGCCAGACCCGACACTGTTGATTCCGGGTCGGGGCCCGATTCCGATGGCGGCGTCACCGATGATCACGGCGTCGCCCGTGGACCCGCGGCAGTTTGGCGGGCGGTCGCAATACCAGCAAATGAACCGGACGCCGGTGAACCCGACGCCGTCGCTGGCGTCGCAAGAGTCGGTGGCCGAGAAGAAGCGGCGGCGCTGGTACCTCGGCATCCAGAGTAAGAAGGAGCCGGCGCACGTCATGTCGGAGGTGTACAAGGCGCTCCACGTGCTGCACTTTGAGTGGAAGGTGCTTGCGCCGTACCGCGTCAAGTGTCGGTGGCACCTCGCGAACGTGCCGGACGCCAACCCGATGAAGCAGATCAAGATTGGGCTCCAGCTCTACAAGGTGCAGCAACATATTTATCTCCTCGACTTTCAAAAGTTGGGTGGCGACGCGTTCACGTACATGAACCTCTGCGCACGCATCATTACGGAGCTCAAGACACTCTCGGGCGTCCGACCGCTCAACCCGAACGACCTTCAGCAGCAAATGATGATGCAGCAGACGACGCACACGCACCAGCACCACAACCCGGTATGCTTGCGTCTCAGTGATTCAATATCTCATGACGTTGTTCATGCATAGCACATTCATTTGCACTGAGCAGCATCATCTCACGACCTGGCAGAACGAGTAGATACATAGTACGACGACAACACGACCCGATCGACGCCTGATCAGCCTTTCTCGTGGAGCGCATCCGGTCGCCGTTGATGATTGGCGCGGAAGACGGTGAGGATGAGAACGCCGAGGGCGCCGAGGAGGACGAATACCGTAGCGCCAGCAGCAAACTGCACGGATGGTGACTCGTCCGAGAAGCCAATGACCGATGGCTTGTACGACGTTGTCGGACGTGACGTTCTCGCCGCAGCGGCCTTGTCGGTCGATCCTATGGTCTGGCACACGGATGCGTTCTGTACGCTGTCAAAGATGCAGCGCAGGGGCTCTTGGCGCCATCGTGCAGTCGGGCCGTCGCGCATGGGACCATGGCCGACGCAGCCCGCGCAGCATGTCGGTGCCCCGGGGCATGGCGTCGTAATGCAGTCGCAGTAGCCGACGCGTGCCGCCACCATGGCCGGAGAGGCGCGCCGGAGCGTGCAGCCAAGCGCTATGCCATAGTAGTCGCCACAGTTGTGATCATGGCGGCAAAAGCCATGCCGGGGACTCTTCGTGTCGGGGGCTAGTAGCGCCATGTATGCGTGCAGCGCCTTCGTGGCGTCGACAGGTGTCATGGGCGCCGATGGATCTGCTGGAAGACACTGCGACCAGGTCGGGAACGAAGGCAGCTGGAAGCAGCCGAGATGGTGACCGCAGTCGGCGGCCGAGAGGCACAGCGTCGTGTGCAGAGTGGGCTGCACCACGAACGGCACCGGGCGCCCGCCGGGCGTCGCAGGAAACGCAATGTCGTCGCTGCCAATGCGTTGCTCGGGCTCCTCGGCGGCCGTGACGTCGGCAGCGATGCGAGGGCTCGCCGTGCCATTGAAGACAGGCATGCTGCTGCTGTCGTTGTTGTCCCAGCGACTGCCGCGACCGCTGCTCATGCGAGTGTGTCGTTCTGCAAGGCAGCAATTTATGGCTCTGCCGCTGGAAGTGTGCGCGCACATGCAAAGCATCTCGTGGGGCGAGATCCAACTTCGAAGATTTCACTACGTTGACTGTATCTTAGGTCAGCGAGCGACGACGCTTGGCCGGCGACGCGGCTGCCGAACCCAGCGACCTCTTGGTAGGCGGCGGCGCCTGCCCGCTGAGAATCGATGGGTCGTTGGCGCGAAGCCACTCGTCGGCGCTGCAGCCCTTGACGCGCACGCGCAAGAAGGCGCCGTCAACGGCCACGACTTTACTTTGCCCTACATCGTCCTCCTGTACTACCATGCACCTCGCTCCGATCCTCGGTACCTCGACGACCATATCGGGCGACCGGCGCAGCGAGATGATTGCATTCTTCTTGCACAAGCGCTTGGGGAGTCCGCGCGGGCTCGGCGGTGCGTGGTCCTTGTCGATACCAGCTTGACAGTATCGACACAAGAGCGTCGAAGGTATGGCATCGCTCTACATCGGTGTGAGCGTCCCGCCAAGGAGTCTCGAGTGGACTACAGGCAAGGTTGGATGCTCGCACGCGAGGTGAGCCCACACTTTGCACTTGGAGCACTCGAATGACGGCTGCTACGCACCGAAGAATGAACCACGCCACGGTGTACTGACGGTATCGTGCTCGGAAAAGTCGTCGGCGCTGCTCGCGTAGACGCCGCAGCTGCAGTGGAGCACCCACGCGTCCGCATCGAGGCGGTCGCTGCCCGGTGACGAAAAGATGTTGTGTACGAAGGCATCCAGGTCGATGCGAACTTGGCCAGGCACGCAGTGGCACAGCTGCCGCCTCTTAGAACTCCGATCTGATGCGTCAACGGCATACCTTGGCCGCGCGACCGAGGCCAACCCAGCGCAGCGTCGCAAAGTTGACCGACTCGGCAATGTTATAACCTAATATAACGAGCGCCAGTCGTAGCGAAGCGGCATCGGACGGCGGACCCATATTGAAGCCTTGGTGGTAGCTGCCTGGGAACGTAATCACAAACTCACCGGGCCGCTGGACCACCTGGTTCCATGTCAACCCGCGTCGCTGGTGCCGCCGACGCACCTTGACGAACGGAACGCTGTGCTCGCGCAGCTTGGACGGCGCGATCAGCGACGTCTTGTGGCGCAGAAACTACATCAACTATCGTCGCTGGTTCAATGCGGTGTTCAGAAGACTTGATGGCACGTCATGTCCTTCTCCGGAAACAAGCTCTGCGCGACGCGTTCCAACTTGGCCGCTACGACGTGGTTCATGTGGTCGTTGGCATCAAGCATCGTCGTACCCGACTGCGGCGGAATGCCATACCAAAACTTGGGCCGTCCCGTGTGCAGAAAGTTGATACTGTACAGATCCATGTCTTCCTAGACGCACCATGCAGATGCTACAAAAGGGCTATTCCGTCGCACCGTGTGGAGCGCAAACATCGCGCGCCACATGCCAAAGTACAGCATCGCCTGCGTAACGCCGGGCAGGTCCACGCTGCGCAGGATCGTGTCCAGGTTGTTGACGTTCCATGGGTTGCTTTTCGCGTCGTCTTGGAAGAGCGAGCCCTACCGAGTCACAAAAGCGTCCGTTGCGGGCGCCGAGTCGATGGCTGTACCACGAGGTCGGCGCCGTAGACAGGTGGCTCCATTGTCGGACGCAGGCCTTTCCAGAAGGTCCGCTCGATGGCGTCGTCGTCGTCTACGCAGCCAAGTGAGCGACTCTATGCATCGTCGCGATAGCCTGCACCGAGAAGATGCGCGATGGTATCCTTGGCGGCCGCCAGCGCTTTAAAAGCATCGAGAGTCATGCTCTTGCGCTCGACGAGGTCGACGTTGAAGACGCCTTTCTTGCCCGCGACGTGCTGGCTCAGCGGCGTGTGGATGTCGAACGCAACGTCGTCGTAGCCGGACGCGCGCGCGACCCACGCGGCCGGTGGCACGATCTACCAGTCGCCCGCATACGCATCGATAGCACGTGCTGCATTCATCGTGTACCTTGCAGAGGCCAATGGCTTGGCACTGCGGCTCGACGACCGTGCGAATGTAGCGCGGGAAGGACGCAAACTCACTTGGCGTCGGGCGAAACACCGGCGCGTCCTCCATGCTTCCAAGCTTCCACTGCGACACGCCGTGGCCACCTTCGTATCCGGACAAGCCAGCCACATACAAAACGCAAGTGGGACGGCGCCGAAAGATCGCGCGACGCCGTAGCTACTAGTTGGCCGACGCACCACTGTCGATGCCCCATGGGTATTGCCTGTACATGTACTAGTACGTCGTCCACCAGGTGACTGCGCTCGGCAACACCGGCGGGCGGCGGGGAAGACCGTCAGCTCCATGCGCATCGGAGGCCATGGCTGCTACGGTGGTAGGACCTATGCACAGTCGCGCATAGCAGCAACGCCATGGCGATGCGACGCTATGGCTAGCGTACGCCGATGCGGAGGCGCTTGTGGCCAACCTCGTGCGTGTTGATGTAAGGATGTGAGCTCGCTAGCGGCAAGATTGACATGTGCAATGCGATAAGATTGGAGCCGCGAGCGCCAGCCGCGCGGACACTCGCTGCGCCGATGGCTATTTAGGCTGTGGCGACAGGAGCCGGCGACCTTGACGAGCAACCCATGTAGTGTCCGTCGCACGCCGGCAGCGTTCGATGCTGGCTTGCCATTGGTGAAATTCATGTAAAATTCCACCAATAAGAAGTGCGATTGGCCAGGCGGAATAATATAGGGCGTGAATTTGCTGGTTTTTGGTTTCGTCCGAAGCGGCCGGAGGACGACGATCGCGGCCACGGAGGCGACGTCCATCAGAAGCGCTACCATCGACGTACCAGGAAGAGGAAGCGCCACAGTGAACATGGAGCAGCCTGAACCCCTGCGCCACTCCCCGCGCCATGGCCCGCCGGGTGCGGTTGCGCGATGATCGACGGGTGGCACCTCATGCTGCGAGCGGCTTGTAGGGGGTAGCTCCGCAGGGTTGGGACCGAATGGCACCAAGAAGCCCGTGGCCCATGGCCACCCAGCCTACTCTGGCAGACCACAGAACTACGTACCGCCGCCGAACGGCGCGGCGCCACCACGGTACGCCGAACCGTACCGAACACCCTTTCTTATTTACGCCGCAGCGGTGGACCTCGAGGACCCATGATGCCCGGTCCGCCCCCCGTGTCGGCCCGGCCTGATGGCGAGCATCGCGAGAACAGCCGGTCGCACTCGTCGTCGCGGCATGTGGCCCATGCGACGGCGGTCCAGCGCCGCCCAAGCGCGACGCGGCCGGCCTTTTTATCGACACAAAATCAGCGCTTGCAAAAGCGACAAGAGCTCCTCGAAATGAACAGCTTCCAGGGCCCGTCCGAGGACACGACGTCGCTCCGGTACGCGCTCTCCGTCTTTGGTCTGGACCCGCGCTTTCTCAAGGTGCACGTCGTCGTCTCTTCCATCGCACTCGCCTTACAGAATATCTAGGACGCCAAGAACCCAAATACGACGGCCAAATTAGGGATGCCGGGCATCTTCCAGACGCACCCGACGCACCCCGAGGAGCAGTACCACCACTTTGCGAAGCGGCGGGCGGCGTACGTCGCCCAGACCGCGCGCGGCCTCGGACCGATGCCAGGCAATTGGCACAAGCAATATGCGTTCTTCAGCGAGCAGATCCCGCTCTTTGACCGCCTCTCGCACGTCGCGACCTTGCCGCTGACCAAGTCGCCGGCGCCGTCGCCCAACAACTTTATCGACTTCGTGTACAAGCAAGTGCGGCGGTTCGCCGAGCCGGGCGCGCACCACATGTGGATGCTGGACCTCGCGCGCGGCAAGTTTACGCTCGCCGATATGGTGCAGACGTACGGCGGCATCGCCCACGAGTCGTGGCACCCGACGGAGGACGCCAAGTGCCCGATCCTGGACACGGTCGCCAAGTACAACTGCGGGTTCCCCGAGGCCACGTGGTACATTCAAGCCAACGTCGTGTACCAGGAGCTGCACAGCCTTCGGCGCGACACGGACCATCGCAGCGGCGACTGGTTCTTCCACTCGAAACGGTACCAGCGCCGCGCGTACGAGTGGACGGGCCAGCTCCTCCAGTGCCTTGTCGCGAGTGCCCGCCAGAGCTACGACGAGCCGCCGCTTCTCAATGCCGTCAGCAGCAAGCAGAAGAAGCCGTCGACGCCACCGCTGGTCGCGCCGGCCAAATCGGTGAAGGTAAAAAGTCGCCGCCAAGCCCGTCGCCGCCGCACTCCCGCCCGTGCCAACGATCTCGGCACTCGAGAAGACCGTGTACCTCCTCCAGCTCTCGTCGTACCAGTTCCAATTGCATTTGCTGGACCGGAATCGGTACCTCCAAGGCCTCCTCGCGCTCTTTCAAAAGTGCTTGGAGCCCAAGGCCGGCGCGTCGACGCCCGAGCTGCCGTTGCCGCTCCCAGTCATGGTGCAGCTGCTGCAGACACTGCACACGCTTCTGCCCGACATGCTCGAGCACCCGTTGTGCGTGAAATTGCTCGTCAAGATTGTCTTGCAGCATTTGCAGCTGCTCGTGGGCGACGACGACGGAACCACCTCGAGGAGTCTCTACGCCGAGTCGCTCGTGTGCGGCATGTGCCATCTCCTCCGCGACGTCTTGCTGTACGCGACGGACCACCTCATTCACGTTCGGGACGACGGTGCGCCTTCCTCTCCATAGTGTCGGCATCTCCGATATTGCTGATGCATCCGTGGTGTAGTGCTCCAAGTGTGGCCGGCATTTGTGCTCACAGATCGGTTCTTTGACCGGACCATCTACTCGGACGAAGCCATCGCGGCGTGCTTGGCGCAGTGCCGCGCCAAGCTCGACGAGGTCACTGCCCGCATCGCCCGCGTCAAGGAGTTCCATGCGGTGATTACCCGCAAGCGCCACAAGGACGCGCTGGGCGACAAGAAGCAGCGCCACGACGTCGAGATCTTTGAGCTTCTCGACGAGTTTCATGGCGGCAAAACCAAGCTCGAAGCCGACGACGTGTACGCACAGGTATTCCATGTGCCTGGTGGTATATATATATCCATTTGGCGCATCGAATGGCATAGATCTTTCAAGACGAGCCTGTGACCGTCGATGTCCATGCGATCCACGCCGTGTGCGAGTGGGCCGTCTCGATCTACCGACCGCAAGAGTACAAGTTTGTGTCGGTCGTGTACCTTCTCGAGACGCACAACCACGCGCTCTGTGCGCGGTATGGATTTCGTTCCGCGGACAGCACTTTTGATATGGCGTTGGCGTGTAGAGACTTGTCGTCGCGCGAGCACGCGTCGTTCTTGCAAGAGCCGTTGACGAACTTTCTCAAGACGTATGTGCCGACGCAGAACGCCGAGCTGGCGTCGCTCCTGGACCTCTTTTCGCTCTTGATTCGTCGCCGGCTCTTCTTTACCGACGCGTTTGTGCTTGCGATGGACCAGTTTCTTGACCGGACGACCGGTGCGTCGTCGCTTCTGTCGCTCTCGTACTACTTTGAGTATGGGCCGAACAAGGGCGGGTTCAAGGACATTGCCGCCGTGCCGCTGCACGACCGGCTGCGGCTGTACCTATGGCAGTTCCCGCGCGGCCCGGCGCCGTTCGGGGCGCTGCCATTGCAGCTTCGCGGCGACATTCAAGGCGAGACCGACACGGACACGCTCAGCTTGTGGATGGAGCTCGTCGGCGTCGTGCCCGACGAGCTACAGCGGTCGCGCACACTGGAGCGGGCGATGGGTCTCTGCATGGCCGTGTTTTCGACGGCGCAGAGCACCGAGTTTGAGGTCATGACCAAGGTCGTCGAGCTCTACTCGGCCATCAAGCGGCTCTCGGCGCACGACAAGACGCGGCTGACGCAGTGGCTCCTTGCGCGCGTGTACGCCGTCGACGATGCGGGCTTTTTCGCGCTCTCGGAGCTCTGCAATGTCGAGTTTACGCTGCGCCTACTGCTCGTGCTCTTCGAGCTCATTGACGTGCTGAGCCTCCTCGAGGTCGTCATCCACTTTGTGCGGCACGCGCCCGTGTACATGGTGAAAGCCGTGCTCATGCCGCTTCTGGACCGGCACCAAATGACGTTTTACGCGTCGCAGGACCTTCTCGCGCTCATCCAAGCGTACGAGTACCGGTGCCACGCGTTTCGTCGCCACGGCTTTGACCCGGACGACAAGGTGCAGACGATCGCGATGTTCATCGCGCGCATCTACCAAAGCAACTCGAAGGCGCTGGACAAGGCGCTGAAAGCGCTCGACGCGCGGTCACCGCCCGAAGTGCTCACGAAAGCGTTCTTCGCGATCCTCAAGGAAGACAAGCTCAAGACGGACCCGAGCAAGGACCTCTCGCTCGAAGGCGTCAACCACAAATGCGCATTTCCGAAGGACAAGGACACGATGGGCCCGGACCTCGCGGCCGTCCTCGCCAAGATCTTTGCGGGGCTGAGTCCGTCCGACGAGCCGAGCCCGGTGGTCGCCCGCAGCTTCACGCACCTCATGGGCGCCGTGGACGCGAGCGAGATGGCGTGCCGGGACAGTGGCGTCGAAGAGGCCGTGAACGCGCTCCTCGCGCACAACCCGTCGACGTCGCAGCAGCGCATCTTTGTGTTCCGCGCGCTCCTCACCGAAGTCATGGACAAGTGGCTCGCGCTCTTGCATGCGACGGCGGCCAAGAAGGCGAGTACGACGTCCAACTCGATTCGGCAAATCCACTTTCTCGTGCCCCAGCATCTGCACCGGTGCGTGCGCGTCTTGCGTGACTTTATTGACGCGCAAGACGAAGGCGACCGCAAGCTCATTCGTGACACGCTCCTCGCCTGGCTCCACCGCGAAGTCGTTCTCGGCTTTAACGGTCTTGAAAAGCCGACGCAAAAGGCAAGACCAAGCACCCGTTCCTCTCGCGCGGCGAGTCGAGCGGGAAGGAAGCGTACGCGTGCAACCTCAAGGGCCGGCTCGACAAGGCGCAGTACGGTCTCAAGCTCTTTCTGCAGTCGCTCGTCCTCCACGGCATCCTCGAGCTACCCCAAGTCCTTCGGTTTGTGCTTGTGCCGGGCTTTCCGAAGAAGAATGCCAAAACCACCGAGGCGCGGTCGCTCCCGAACCAGCTGCTCTCGATGGCACTGGCCTTCCATTTGCTCGGCGACGCGCCGCCGCAGTACACGCAAATTGACGCCAAGACGATGGCGCAGATCGACGACCCGATGCTCAAGTACCATTGGCGCTTTCTGCGGAGCATGGTGCCATCGACTGTCTGGTTTCCATTGCTATTGCTGTTTTGCCAAATGTCGTACCAGCTGACGACGGACGGGCAGACGCTCAAGCCGCGCGACGAACGCGGCAACCTCGCGAGCCTCATCCTCTTCCACTGCACGAACGACATGCTCGTGCGCGAGAGCCTCTTTGCCGACAAGGAGCTTCGCGAGCGCTACATTGCCAACGCGGGCAAGGAGCCGGACAACGTCTGGATGCTCAACGTGCTTCTCAAGCACCTCAGCCGGCCGCTCAACACGCCGGCCGAGCTCGCCATGAACCGAATCCAGCTGCTCAAAGCCGAGGCGATTTTTGAGTCCATGGACAAGTGGCTCGTGCACCGCGGCGGCTCGGCCTACCTCGAAGTCCAAATGGTGCGGCAGCACGCCAAGGCTGTCAAGCGTGCGAAGAAACCGACCTTGCCTCGGCTCGTTGACACGCGCGTCGTTGACGTTCGCAGCGATTATGCGCCGCTGCTGGCGCTGCCTCCGCCGTCATTGGACGAATCGCACTTGGCGTCGTCGACGCTCTCGTCCAGCGACAAGATTGGCATTCTCGTGGCCCACAAACTCTTTGTGCGCTGCGCCCGCCCCGCCTTTTACGCGCCGGAGGTCCCTGGCCCGGCCTCGGCGACCGAGCTCGCGCTCGCCCAGCGCGAAACGAGTGACGTGGCCACCGCGCACTTGCTCGCGTCGTGCGTCACCTGCATTCCATCGGCGCAGATCACGGCCAGCGTCCTCGGGGCCGTCGTCTCGCGCGTCTGCGAACAGCTCGAGTTTGACTGCCTCGCGCCGACCACGTCGGACGAGTTTTTGAGCGCGTTTTCGACCTCGGCGGTCGCCACCTTTCTTCGCCGCGTGCTCACGGCGCCGTTGACGCCGGCAACCATGTACGCGCGCTTCTTGCGGTCCGTCCTCAAGCAGCTCGAGGGGCTCCGCGCTGCGTTCCAAGCCGACCCGGCCGACACGGCGGTGCGCGCGGCGCTCCGGCGCAAGCTCGCGCTGCGGCTCCAGCTCGTGAGCATTGCCGCGTCCGTGACCAACTACACGCTGCCGTACCGCAACGGCATCATCAAGGTGCTCGTGACTCTCCTCGAGACGCCGCTCGTGTGTACGGACACGGGCCTCCCGCTCTTTTCGTGGATCTTGGACCTCATCCCGCTCATCCCGTCGACCGTCTTTGCCGACATGGAGACCTCGGTACCTGCCTCCTCCTCTCTCCTATACATACATATATAAATGCGTAGGACATTGTGCGGGGCTTGCGCCTGCCGCCGGCGCTCCAGCGACGCGTGTTTGTGATTTTTCCCAAGAGCGTCTACGGCGCGCGGCCGCTTCCGATGGCCAACAAGCGCAAGATGGACCCGTGGGCGCGCCTTGACGGCTTTCCCGACCTCCCGAGCGACGTCTTTGCGCCGCTGAGCGCGCCGGCCAAGGCCAAGCGGCGACGAATCTGGCGCGCCCTGTAGTGCGACCCGTATGTATGCAAGTAGACAACCCGACGTCGTTCTTCTTGTTGTTGTATTTGCTGCGTCTTATGGCGTCTTATTGCTTTGCTGCGTCGTGCTTGGCGTGGAGTGCGGCGAGGAGCGCTTTCGAGTGAACGGGCCACTTGTCGTCGTCGTCGGCGGTGTCCTTGGATGAGTTTCCATGCGTCATGATGGACGGTGGCACCACCGGTGGTGGTGTCGCAGGATGACGAGTGGCGCCCCGCAGCTCGAGGAAGCGCGCCACGAGCGGCAGCGACGGCCAAGTGCTGCTGTCGGCCACGCCTTGGCACGCCGTGGCGACGCACGAGAGCACTTGCTCCGAGACACGCGCTTCGACACGCGCGAGAAGACTTGGAAGCAGATGCGGGGCCGACCACACGATTGACTCTTCCGACGGTCGCTTGCACACGATGCACCATCATCTCGGTTGGCAACGTCTCGAACGCCAGCTCGTAGAGCGCAGCGATTGGCGACTCGAGCTGCGTGAGCCTTTGCAAACGTCGGTGAAGATAAGAGATTGAGGCAGTTTGTATACGTGGACGCGACAGTAGCGCTCTCGGCGGCGACGACGTTCGCGCGGTCCCGCGACGCCTCGAGCGCCGCAACGAGGTCGGCGCGAAACGGGTTGGCGTGGACTTCGGCGAGTTGCAGCTTGGCGAGCTCGGCCTCGACGTCGGCCATGGTCGCTAGCACTTGGGCGTCTACCACCCATCTCGCAGGTGAGGTACGATGGAGAGATGGGCACGGACGGCGGGAGGCGCGGCCCGCGAGCGCCGTCGCGACCGCGTTCTTCTTGGCTTCCTGCGCCAAGAACGTCGTGAGGAGCGCGGCGACGTTGGGTGCTTGCGTAGCGCTCAGAGCATAGTCGAGGAGCTCTTTCTTGCGCTCGAGGGACTCGGTGCGCTTGACCAAGTCGATCTTCTTGAGCCACCTAGCAGCTTGCTGTGGTTCAAACGGTGTCGATCGATGCACACGGTACGAGAGGTTGCTCTTCTTGCGATACTCCAACTAGAAGAGCGTACTAGTCGACATGCAGATGCGGGAATGTACCTTGTGGGCGCGGTACGCCTTGTGCGTGCGTTCGATGAGCGGCTGCTGGAGCTCGGCGGCAAGCTGCTGCTTTTGCGCAAGGAAGGCCGACTCATTGGCATCGATCTCCGCTTGCAGGCGCTTGATCTCGTCGGCGACTCTTGCGTCGTTCGACAGCGCCGTCTCGAGATCAGCGGCCGCGCGTTTGATCTTGGACTCCCAGTCGCTGGCGCACGCTTCTTCGGCTGCTAGCGCGGCCGCAGCGTCGAGCTTGGTGCGCCGCGCCTCGTCAACCGCCTAGTACAAGGCGCTGGCCATCAACGTCAGTCGTGAGTGGCGTACGAGGCGAAGGGTCGCAATGTGCTGGCGCTTGGCTTGAAGCGCGACGTGGAGGCGCTGCTCGTGATCGGCTAGCTGCTTGCGCTGCCGCGGGTGGTCGCTATTAGTACACGTAGTACATGAGGTCGGCGAGTGCCGGGCGTGTACGGTTTGGCGCGGCTCGCGCTCTTGGCTGCGCGCAGTCGCTTCATCTCATCCTGCGCCTCCGCAAGCGCCGCCATCGTGGCCTCCATAGCCTTTTTCTCCATCTCGATCTTGATGAGCACCCAGTCACCCTCGGCGCGGACCTTGGCAAGCTCTGCCTCGACGCCATGGACCGGATTGCACATCGCGTCTCGGCGGTTGTCGGGAGCGTTTCCGACAGTGCATGCGACCGTGCATGTGCTTTGCCAGCATGCTATGCAGGCGGCTTGTTCGAACAGGTGCTGTGCATTGTCGGCATGAGCCAGGTAGGTACGAGCTAGAGCTTCTGCGCCAGCGACAGCGCGCTCGAGGTGGAGGGCAAGGAAGATATGCTTGTCACGGATTGGTCCATGTGAAATACGCGTCTGTGATTGGCCGGAGCTCTACAGCGTGATCGGATTGGGCGGCGAGGACGAGAGATAGCAACGATGGCGTCGAGACTGCTAGACCGCAAGGACGAGTGCCACGTGTGTGGGCGCGCGCCGACGAGCGAGAAGAAGGTACTCGCATCGCTCCATGAGCCTCGCCTCATGCCCCAGCGTAGGTCTGGCGCAAGATCCTCTGGGAAGAGCAGCCGTACGAGGACTGGTACGTGGACTCGTCCTTCCTCGAGCAGCTCCGCACCAACGGTACAACCATACTGCTCATCTACCTACCACGCAGCATGCTCTAGAAAACGTGCGCGAGTACGACTACTGGGGCATGACCAAGTCGTCGGCCGCGCTCACGCAGCAGATGAGTCTCGTGCTCATCTTTTTCGTACGACGATGCATGTACGAGAGGAGGGTTACGCTGCTCTCGTAGGCCATCTTTGTCAACTCGAGCAAAGGCGTGTGGTCGTGGCACCTCCTCGCAGGCGTCGACGTGATCGTCGCGCTCATGGGCTACGCGGCGCTGCGGTCGTGTGGCGACACGGAGATTGGTCCGTCTCTTCGACTACTTGCATATTGGGCCCAATATGCAATATTAGATGTGCTGCAAGTCACAAAAGAGTGTCTTCTCTTCACGGCGACGCTCTCGATCCTCTCGCCCGTGCTGCGGACGCTCACCGAGTCGTATGCTGCCGACACGATCTGGGCGCTCTCGATCTCGCTCACGGGCATCCACCTCATCTCGCACGACTACACGTACATCAATGGCACGACGTTCAAGTATTGCAACCTGTCGACTATCTCAATATATATTCACGGACGACTAGGTACACTGGCACCATTTCGCTCAACGCCGCCATCTTTACGTCCGTGCTGCTCGCGTCGCTCTTGCACTCGAACGAACAAGTGTTTTCGTTTGTGCTCTTCGCGATCGAAGTGTTTGCAATCTGCCCGATCGTCCAGCACAGCATCAAGGTACAATTAGTTGGTATATATATATACGTGGATATTGGACATGCGCGTAGAAGACGTCCGAGCACATGCACTTGTCGTTGGCGCTCGTGCTCTTTGGCACCGCGCTGCTTTTGATGTGGCCCATTTCGCCGCTCGTGTCGGTCGTCGTCTTCATCACGGCGGGCTTCATCACGTTCGTGTGCCCGCTCTGGCTCATGCACGCCCAAGAGTACAAGAAGTACGCGCCTCTATCTCGACTGTATCACATGCTCATCCTCGTCGTCTTCGCACTAGCGAGATCCAAGGGCCTTGGGACATTGCGCAAATCGAGCCGCAGCAATAATCGACGACCGCTAAAATATCGAACACGGGAGCATGGCAGAGTTTGAGTATCCGGATCGGCTTCGATATTCTGGTTGCAGCTGAAGGATGATAGCGTCGTCGATGGCTACCTTCTCGTTCTCTTCCATGGATGTCGCGAGACGCCATGGAGAGGACTCTTCTCTTGCCTTGCAGCTGCACACGCTGCCATCGCAGGACCAACGTGTTTTGATCACATGCAAGGGCAAGATGGATGTTTTATATTATGGCAACATCAGCGCGCTCTGGCACAGGCCACAATATGCAATATTCAATATAATGGCTGATCTCCGCCGGTTCGAAAATTCATTCGTCGCCTTTCTAATTAAATCGCTTGGCCTTTCTATGACCTTTCTTTTTAATTGCGAATCTTGCCGGCGCCACTTGGTGTTTGTATGCAGCCTGCCGAAGGCGCGTCGGTTTCGGACACGAAGCCAATCAGCGTCGCGATTGAAGGCGACAGCGGACCAATGGGCGCGCGCACATCGCGGTGCATCGTTCCATGGTTTGAAATATCGAATTGGCGTGTTTCTAGACCAGAGTAGTTCCCAATCAAGATGAAAAGGAAGGGGCACGCGTGTTAGCCCATGAAACGACCCTGCGGTCACGCCGATCGGTCCATCACAATCGATCGAGCCGCGTCGAGGAAACATCGTCATCGTCATGAGCTCTGCCCCGTCGACGCCCATGATGTCCCTGCTGACGGACGACAGTATCGTCGCTGCCCCGCTTCGCCTCGAGCGCCTCAAGGCCGAGCGCATGGAGGGCGTCGGATCGCCGACCTCGCCTGGCATGACAGCCAGCCTTGCGCGGCGCGAGGCTGCGGAAGCGGCTGCATTCCACAACACGCTGAGCGGTGAATCGTCGCCGGAAGACGACGGCGACAGCGACACGGACATCCCGCGCGACTGCAAGCCCAACACGGGCCGCTGGACGGACGCCGAGCACAAGCTTTTCCTAAAGGGTCTCGAGTGCTTTCCATACCGCGCGTGGAAGAAGATTGCGACGCTCATCAAGACGCGCAGCGTCGTGCAGATCCGCACGCACGCCCAAAAGTACTACCAAAAGCTCGCCAAGGAAGAGGCGAAAGGCAAGGACCGTGACTTTGCGTCGCCGTTTGGCATGGACCACGACCGCAAGGCGACGTCGGCAAGCATGAAGAAGCGAAAGTACAGCTTCGAGGACAGCCACTACTCGCGCAAGCTCCTGCGCGAGCGCAAGGACGCTGAATTGAAGATCAACATGGAGGCCCTCAAGCCGCCGTGCCTCCGGTCGAGCACGGCGACGGCCGACGCCCGCGCGCGCAATGTGAGTGTCGACATTAGTGTTGCGGTCAACACGAACGGGGTGCCGTCGCCGATGCTGCCACCTCGGCGGCCCGTGACGGTCTCGCGGGGCATGGTCGCGTTTGATGCGCCGATGGTCGTCGACTTTCCCGAGACCAAGGTCAAGACAGACTTCGACCCGAGCCTCGAGCGTCTCTCGCCCGTGAGCGCCGATGCGATGCCCGGCACAGACGAGGACTGGTTCTCGTCGTCGTCGACGTCGGAAATGAGCCTGAAGGACGAAACGGTGCCCGAGGGCTCGGCGGCGTCGTCGCCCGTCTCGATGACGAAGAAGAACCAGTTTCTGCCCATCTACCACTGCGACGCGGCCTTTGACTTCGGCCACGACTCGACGGACCTCATTCTCTTTGAGGACGAAGCGCCGTCGGACGAGTTCGTCTTGGACCCGCAGACGTTCCTGACGTGCTACTTCAACAAGGAGTCGTAAACGCGTTGGCGCGTTTTTTGTCCGTGTCGCGACCATAACTTATTAATACACGTGCGCTTGGCCACGACGACCGTCTATCTCGTAGCTCAAGACGCTGCCTTCGTCGTCGACCACGAGGAGCTTCCATGGCACGTCGTCGTCGCCCATGGCCTCGCGAAGCGCCATCGCATGTGGCATTGCCGCGTCCCACGCAAACACGGCGACGCGGAAGAGCGGCCATGGCGTCATCTTCTTGCCGGCGTAGACATCGTATGCGATTTGGATGGCGTCGGCCGTTGAGATTGGCGGCGGCGTAGTCCTCTCGTGGCGCATGGGGTAAAACTTGCGGTCGCGCAGAAAGCAGTAGGCCTCTCGGCATGCGCGGGGCGTGTGCTTCTCAAGGTGCGCGCAGACGTCGCGCAGCGGCAGGGCCGTCGTGCTGTCCACCGTCGTTACGTCGAGGACCCCGCGGTGGGCCAAGCACCACGCTTCCTCGGGATGGAGGCAGAGCCGCTGGCCGTCGTGGAAGCCGATGTGGAAGAGCGTCTTGCCGCGCTGCTGGAGCACGGTCGTGACGCCGGTCGCCACGTTCAGGCACCCAGTTGATCGCGTCTTGACCGGGTTTGACTCGGTCGCGGCCAGCGCTGTGTAATCCATGGCTTGCAGCGGTTGCGAGATTTGAAGATTTTGGACTCGCATACAGAATTCCTGTGCACCAAACGAAACGAAACTCAAAATCCTTTTTTTCGTTTTTTCATTTTTCACAAATTCACATTTTCACATTGGCAGCAGCATGTCAGGCCGGAAGCGCAAGCCCGACGACGTCAAGACGCAGCCGACGATTGCCGCCTTCTTCTCTCCACGGTCGTCGCAGGATGGATCGCAGCCGACGATCGACGCGTTCTTCTCGCCGTCGTCCCGCGCCAAGCGAGCGTCCTTGTCCTCGGTGGACCTCTCGACGCCGCCGCCACGCCCGCCACCCGCCACGCGCATCGATGCCAGTGGTGTCATTAGCATCGAGGAAGACGACGATGACGACGACGCCGTCAGCATTGTGACGCCCCAGCGGCCACGCCTCGACAACGACCAAAAGCCCTATACGCCGTCGTCGACCGTCAAGTCACGCATGAACAACTCACTTGTCCGTCCTTTCTCATCGCTATGGCCACGCCTCATGACAAGCATAGGTCTTTGACCTCAACACGTCCCTCAAGACGAGAAACCCAGAGATCGCGCATGCAGCGCTGCGGTCGCTCGTCGCGCTCGGCAAGGAGTACCCGACGGCCATGACGTTTTCCCAGTGCCTCGAGGTCATTGAGGAATCGACGCCGTCGTACGACCGCGCAGTCGAGATCTGCGCGTCCTTGACCTTTATCTTTGACCAAGCGTCGCTCTGCAATACGTCGCTCGAGTACCCCGACCGCTGGGAGATCATGGCGTCGCTCCTTGAGACGGCGGCGACCAAGACGATGAACGAGGTCTGGGATCGGTGCGTTCTCGTTGCATCTTGCAGGAATGCGAGAGAATGTGATGGCGCGTAGGACGCTCATCGTGCTGCAGTTCTTTGTCTACATCTTGCGCCGGGACATGCTTATCTGCGAGTCGCGGTATGCGGCAACAAACCGCCACTGGCTGCAGCACGCCCGCGTCTACGCGCTCTTGAACGCGTCCAAGGCGCCCAAGGCGAAAGGCGCGCGCGTCGCCAACCACGGCATCCTCCAAGCCATCGACATGATCCTCAAGTTCTGGAAGCGCGTGTACGACTCTGGCAAATGCAAGCCGGACGACGACGACGCCAAGGAGACGTGCGTGTCGACGTTGCGACTCCTCGAGATGCTCCTTAGCGTCACCGACCAGATCGAAAACTGTCTCCAGCGCGTTTTGAGCGGCGTCGCCGACCTGACGCGATCGACGCGCCACATCTTTCTCCAGGTCTTACGACAAACTGGATCGCAACCTCAACCACATCCGATAGACGCTGCAAGCGCCGACGCTCAAGATGTTTCTTGCCACATCCCATCTCGGCCGCACCACATCGACGCGCAGCAAGGTACTCGACACGAAATGACCGATGGCTCGACAAGCGACGGTAATAGGAGCACGAGTGGTTCCATGCCATCGTCGAAGGTCAAGTCACCGCCAAGTACGAGTCCCAGGCCGGTACACACGCACCACCCCCTTCCACTCGCCACCACGTCTGCGTAGGCGCGACGGCGGCAACCAACGATAGCCACATCAAAGAGCTTCAACGTTTCGCTGCATTGCACGCCGACGCGTTCTTAAGCGGCGGCGGCACCGAGAGCTCGGTCGCGACGCTCTTCCGCGCCGTGCTGCGCAAGTAGACTCAGAGCGCAAACGTGTCGTCGACCCCCCGGAGCGTCTGCATGTCGTACACGGAGACGAGGCCCGCGCTACGCAGATGTATAATCGTCGTAACTCGACATATTACGAGTTGATACCTGTCGCTCACGGCGAGCAAGGTGACGTTGTCGATGGCAAAGTCCCCGCTTGTCTTGCGCGTCGGGTCCATGAACACGGGGTAAAACTCGCTAGGTGAAGGCGTGAACATCGAGGAGCAAGGGTACAAGCCGTGTCCTACAAGGCGCAGCGGGTCGAGCAGGATGCCCGCGAGAGGTCGGCGATCGCAAAGCCGCCGAGACCAAACAGTGCCACGTCACCGCAGAGCGACTTGCGCACTTCGCCCACCGTGCAGAGTGGCGAGTGCACCATGAGGTGGCTACGCAAGCACCCCTTGTAAAGAAAAGAGGCGCCTTGGGTGGCGTACCAGGCGTTGTGCGCGGGCAGTTTGCGAATGTCGAGGAAGGCGAGGTGCCCCTTTTCGTACGCCAAGACCACGTCGTGCTCGGACACATACTCGTGGGCGTAGAGACCCCCCGTGACCTCAAAGCGCTAGGTCAGATATAACACTAAGAACGTGGACGACATCGGCACGGTACAAAGAGCGAGGGCGACGCCACGTTGAGCTGCCCCGACGCCGACTTGACGCGAATGTCGGCCATGCTAAACGCGCCGCCGTCCGTCGTCCAGCTCACGCGGTGCGCGGTGCCTAGTCGATGGAATGACGAAATGATGCTGGAGAGGATGGCCCAACCGTCAGGGATCCAGCGCAGGCTGCTCACGACGTCGCGCGCGTCAAATTTGAGGACAACGTCCGCGCGGTCGAGGTCCGTCATGCACACCGTCTCGTCAAAGCCTACGAGTTCGCTGCGTCTCCTTCCACGTGGAGAGAGGCGACGTACCGCCCGAGAGAACCTGTCGCGGGTGGGCGGGGCACACGGCGAGCTCGCGGATCAGATTCGAGTGCGTCATCGTGATGGGTGCTAGGACGTCAATCAAGAACAGTGGTCTCGAGCCTAGGATGCACCTTCGAGATGGCACTCGGCGGCGGTGGTGCCGACGCGCAGTACTTGGAGGTCCTTGCCAACCGCGAGGACGATCGCGTGGGGCTCGACCCACTGCAGGTCACGGACCGCCTACACGAAATCGGTGCACGAACATGCAAAGCACGTGTATGTACGTGGCGCAACGGCACAAACCCATTGTCAGGGGACCGAAAGTTGGAGAGGAAGAGCCCGTGCTCGGTCGCAAACGAGTCATTCGGACTCGCCTCCGAGCCGACGACGAGGAGGCCATCGTGGCGAATCGCGGGCTTGGAGAGACCTACGCAATCAGATTGATTCGATAGAGCCATGGCTGGGCCACACGGGGTGTACTGCCGCCGGACGGATGCATCGGAAGGGTGAGTGGTCCCGTGAACATCGAGTCCGATGCTGGATGCGGTGGAAATGGCGACGACGAGGCGCCGAGGTCGGCCACTTGCATGACTTGAAGCCACAGCGACGGGTCTTCATCCTTGCATGCGTCGGATGCAAGCCGATGGGCGAGATGCGGCGGCGACGGGTGCGATGCAGGCAGCGACTCGTCGGCGAACATGGCCGTCCAGAGCTCCTCCTCGTCGAGGTAGTCGGAGGTCGAGAGCATGCTCGGACGTTGTTGCATGTTGTTCGACTCTACACTAACTAGTAGTGCTACATTGGTGCTTGCTGGCCTTTTTCTGGATGCATGAAAAATGTACATAATTGACAGACGCGCGTTAGACAGTGCAGCTGTTGCTGTCAATCGAATGCGTCGGAAGGAGCTGCTCCTGGACTTGGCCAGCGACCATGCTCACGTAGTAGACCTTGGCGTCGGCGCGTGCAGTGACGGCGCGGATCGGCTCGGCGTCTTCAAAGTAAATACCCGCGTCGTCGTCGCAGGCGTACCCGGGCTTGAGCTCCCCGGTCGAAATGAGCTTTTGGTACAGCGGTCGCCGGTGCGGCTCCGAGTCGTAGTGCGGGCAGTGGCTGCCCGGAAGGAACCCGAGACACTTGACCGTCGAGAGTCGCTTGGGGCGCGAGTCGGTCGTGCCTTCCTCGAACCAGCAGAGCGCGCCAGCACCAGAGCCGCAGAGAATAATACCTTTGTCCCAAGCTTGCTTGAGAATCTCATCGAGGCCATGGGCTTTCCAGATCGCTTGCTGGTTGACCGTGTTGCCACTAGAGCACACAATCGCGTCCATGGAGAGGAGAACTTCGTCCCAGTCGCGCGCTTGCTTGGCGCTGCTGAGGAAGCTCAATTGCACATGCGGCTCGACATTCAAGGCCGCGCAGTCTTCGTAGAACTGGACGATCTTGTCTTGATTGTCGCCGGCTGCTGTGGGCAAGAAGCAGATGCGCGGCCGTGCTTTGCCCGTGAGCGCAACGACGTACTTGAGGTACGAGCTATTGAAGCCGCCGCCCGATATGAGGATCTTGCGCTTCTTGTTGGAGATCTTCTGCACCTTGCGCGGGACGCCCGAGTCGTCGTCGTGGCCCGCCGACATCATCTCGTTCCAGCGAAGGAGGTACTTGTTGCGCCCGGCGAGGTCAATCTCCTTGCATTTCGACGCGAGGTGGTGGATCATGCGCTTCGGCTCCGACTTCATCTCGGTCCGGCACCACGTGCAGATGCAGGACCGCGGCTTGCCCGTCGACTCGTCAAAGTCGGCCCAGACGCCATCGCGCGGGCGGCCGCCCTTGGGCTTGGTCGGCGGCGGCGGCGCGTCCATGCTGCTTCAGTCGACCGAAATTAAACCCATGGCTGGTGTGGGCAAAACCTTCGCTTTCCGGCTTTCTCCCCAAGTGGCAAATGCCACCCAATATCTTATCATGTGCCGAATTACACCATTAATTTCGGCAAAATCTCTTTGTACATCGGCATACGCCTAATTTGATCGCAATCTTGGAGCAGGCAAAAGAGCGGGCGCACACGAATGCTACATGTAGGATCATGCATGCTTGGATATATTGCTCGTAGATTGCTTGCGTGGACGGGAAGGGTACTGGGGCAAGACGACGACGGAGCAGAGGAAGAAGACACGAGTCGAATTGTAGGTTAGGCTTTGTTGAATTTGCTCTCCTGGGAAATACGCACAAAGGCGAGGACGCTATCGATGGCTCTACACGCAGAGATGAGTACGATTGCCTGGCGATGGCAAGATGTACCGTCGGCAGATCTCCGAGCAGGCAAAGTACTGCTCTTCCGATAGCACGCCGGACGTCATCGAGGTCAAGATGCCGTCGTTGTTGCCGCAACACGCCGTTGTGACCGTGGCTGCCGCCGTCTACATGAAGGTTAGCGTCGAGGTACGTTCAGAGGCGGTCGCCGACCTCGCCCTCGGAGCGCGACGGGTCCAAGCACAGCTGGCCGTCTTCTAGGATCGAGCACGTGATCGCGCCAACAATGCTGCGCATGGGCACGCCGGCGTCGATGAGCGCGAGGTTGACTGCGTTGATGGCCACGGCGAGAAGTGCGCCGTCGTCCTCGACGACCTGCACCGTGATGCTAACGACGGCACGGGGAAAGTTCTCGAGCACGATGATGGGCTCGAACGTCTCGCGCAGAATCATCTCGTACTCCTTGTCGCGCGCAGACGGCGCGCCCTTCTCCGCCTTGAACGTCACTTCGAGGGTCGCGCCCGTCGCCTTCTCCTGGCGCCGCAGCTTGGCCGCCGCGGGGCCCGAGACGGACGCCAGCACCGACGTCGTGCCATGGTTGAAGCGCGCAGAGCCATCGGCGCGGTTGAGCAGGCCTTGCTCGCAGGCGAGCGGTCGGATCTCTTGGACCAGTCGGCCGTCCTCGCGGCGATCCGGCGTTGGCATCTTGTAAATAGTTGGTCGCTAAACACAACTCTTTTTAACCAATCAAAATGCACCAAAACTCCGCCAATGGCCGTGCGCCAAACGCGATCATTTGTGAGAAGCAGGATTGATTACATTAGCACTCGCGGGCCGGCGCCCAGGTCTTGAAGGTGCGGTCCCAGCCCGCCGAGACGTAGTGCGTCTCGTCTGGCGCCATGTCGAGCGACATGACCTTGCCGTCATGGCCTTTCAGCACGGCAAGGCAGGTCCAGTTGCGCGACCGCCACAGCTTCATGGACCCATCAAACGACGCCGACGCGAGCACCTCGCCCGACGACGAGTAGCACACAGTGGACACCATCGCATCGTGGGCCGGCACGACGTAGATGTTTTGGCGCTTGCGAAGATCCCAGACGCGGATCGTGTGGTCGTCACTGCCCGTCGCGAGCACGTGGCCGTTGGGGTGCCAGCTCATGGACACGATCTGCTTGGCGTGGCCCTGGAGCGGCAAGATCGCTTTCCCCGACCGAATGTCCCAGATGCGGCCGAGGCCATTGAGGTCCCCTGTCGCCATGAGCGCGCCGTCGGGCTGCGCCGCGATCGCATAGACTTCGCGGTAGTGGCCTTCCTGGAAGAGGAGCTCTGTGCCCCGCTCAATGTCCCAGAGCCGCCACGAGTGGTCGAAACTCGTTGTCGCGAGGTACGAGCCGAGCGGATGAAACGCGATTTGGCCCAGCCTAGTCCCCAAGCTTTGAAAAATCCAAGTGAATATGGAGTTGTGTACCGGTTCTGGTGCCCCTTGAGCGTCATGGCCAGCGCGTTGCCTTTCCAGATCTTGGCCGTGCCATCGGCCGCGCCCGAGGCCAAGATCGGACTTTCCGTCGTCGACGCCGGGTGCCAGGCGAGGCCCGTGATGCGATCCGTGTGACCCGTCAACGTGTGCACGAGGTCGCACGACTTGCTATCCCAGATCTTGACGTTCGAGCTCCACGACCCTGTCGCCAAGAGACTCGCGTCGGGTGAATACTTGACATGCGAGAGCGGCCGAACGTCCGCGAGCTGACTCGCGTTCAGGCTCGTCTCTTGCGCCTCGCGGTACAGCTGTGCCGCGTGCTTGTCGGCATCAAAGACCGTTCCTTCCATTTGCGCGCGCTCTTGCTGGAGCCGCGCGCTCGTGCTCACCATCGAGTGCTTGAACATGGCGTGGCGGGCGACCTTGAGGTCATTCGTCTTGAGCGGCACGTAGAAAAGCTGGTCTTCGATCGCAACCTTCTTTTCCTTCTCGTACCCGACTTGCTGGGAGGCAGCAGCGTTCGCTTTAGCCTGCGCCGCGACGATCGTGTCGACGTCGCCCGCGAGCTGGAGGGCACCCAGAAGGTCGCGAAGACGTGCCCGGCGATCTTCGGGCTTCTCGCCGAACAATGTGATGGGCTCACCGAGGCTACGCAGCTGCTGGATCACTTCTTCCGTGCGCGTCGGCACTTGAATCAAGCGCGCGCGGCGCTCCGTCTCGAGCCGCCGAAGCTGCTCCGCATGCTTCTCCTGGGCCAGTCGACTCGTCTCCGAGAGCTCAAGCACCTCCTTCTCACCCGAGTTGCCCGTGTTGATGTTACCCGCACGGATACCGGCCTGAACGGAGCTAGAGCCTGCGCCGACGATGCTGCTCGCAGAGAGCGCGCCAAAGTGGATCGTCGATCGCTCGGCCATCGCTGCTGCTGGTCCTGCAAACAATGGGACCGCTCGCGGCTTGTTATCCGGATCCGGTAAACTAAAACCCACGGTGGGATTTAACGTCTCCATGGCATGCCCAAAGCACGTTAAACGATATTGCTTGCGGCCGGTACTGGCCTACTGTATGCAAGGGCAGTGAAGGCAGCTTCTATTCCAACGGCAGTATCTGATACGAGGAGGTTGAACGACTGTCGCCATCGAATGAGCTCGTCGCATCCTGCACAGCACCGTGCTGTCGATCGTGTTGACGCAAAAAGTAGCTTTAACGTTGTTTACGCAACGGTTTAAACGTCGTTGGTCAAACTCTTTTCGTTCAAAGCTTGATGTTTGTATGCCAACCTCGAATCCATTGCGCGAGCTTTGGCGATCCAACTTTTGCATGTTCGGGCCGGCGTGGTTCGAAGCCCATCGGAAGCCGGCGGTAGCGCCCGTGGCCAAGACCAAGGTCCCGTTCGACCGGCAGGCCTTCGTCGCCGACGTCAAGGCCGCGGTTGAGGACACGGACCAGCACCACGACGCGGGCTTTGTCTGGGAGTACAAGCGGCGACGCGACTTTGCGGCGAGCGTCATTGCTTCGTACAGCGCGTTTACAGACGAGCAGAAGCTCGACATGCTGCTCGCGCTCGCTGTGGACCTCGGCAGCCAAGACATGTCGCTGCTCGTGCGGTCGCTGCCATCCCTGCTGCGGGCGCACCTCGTGTTCCAGGTGCTCGCGGCCGCGCTCGGCTTCAACCCACCGACGGACCTCGACACATACAAGCACGTCAAGCACGGACTCGTGCCTGTGCCCGAGCACTTTTGCATCCTTCTCGGGTCTGTTCCGAACGGCTATGCGTTCCTGCTGCAGCTGCGCTCGGACCTCTCGCTCGGTCTCAAGAAGTACCATCGCATCTTGCCGACGCACGAGGTGAACGCGCTAATGTACCTCGACTTGCTTTTGCGCGATCTCTTTGCGACGCAGTCGGGCGTGCACTTTCGGAGCATCGATTTGAGATCCGAGAACGCCGAAACGATTGCGGTCGTGCTCCAGAAGGAGCGCGTGCACCGCATGCGCAACTGGGAAGACCTCGAGCAGCGCTTGTCGGGCCCCAACCGGCGCTGCTACGGCATGTTTCACTCCAACTTGCCGCACCAGCCGCTCGTCTTTCTTGAGACGATTGTCACTACGTACGTACTTTTCCTTGGTTCTTCTTGATTCATCGACGTCATTATTGTCTAGGGAGCTCTCGAGCAACATTGACAGAATTTTGTCGCCTGCGACGGGGCCGCCCGTGACGACGCCGACGCACGCGATCTTTTACTCGATTTCCAACACGCACTTGGGTCTTCGCGGCTTGAACCTCGCGAGCCACTTGCTCTTCCTCACCATCACGCGCGTCGCGCGCACGTACCCGAGCGTGCACACGTTTGCGACCTTGTCGCCGGTCCCGTCGTTCCGCAGCTGGTTTAGCCACCAAGTGACAGCCAACCCGATCAAGAAGCAGAGCCACCAGCTCTTGTGGTTTACGCCCGAGAACTTTCAAGTGCTCCAAGAAGTGTTTGGGGTCAACGCGCTCTCGGCCTCCAAGTGGCTCCGCAAGCAACTCGACGCGAACGAGTGGCACACCAAGCCCCACGCTAGCATCTTTGTATGACGTCCATATGCTGCTGCTACGATTGTTGAGTTTGGACGATGTAGAAAGAGCTGGCCAAAGACGTGCTCACGCGGCTCTGTCTCAACTATATTCTCTTCGAGCGCGAGGCGTGCCCCGTGGGCGAAGGCGACGATGGCCCGAACTTGCGCATTGTCGACCCGGTCGCCAACTTTCATCTGCAGAACGGCGCGCAAGTCGAGCGGCTCAATTTCGACGCCGACCTCTCGAGCGCCGGGTTTGAGAACGCATATGGGCTCATGATCAACTACAAGTACTCGATCAAGAGCGTCGACGTGACGTCTATGTCGTACAAGCGCAACTCGACGGTCGCGCTCTCGCCGCCGCTGCTTCCGATCCTCTGGCCGTCCCGCCACCCGATCTTTGATGGTGCGAGACGTGTTTCTTGTGGTCGAGGCCTGCATCGGCGAATGGGTAGAGATCCAAGCGCTCGCCGCGGCCGGCGGCCCCAACATTTTGATTCTCGCCAAGCAATACACCAAGGGCCAAGTCATCATGACCCGCGGCCAAGCGCCCCACGCCGTGTACTTCCTCTGGTACGCAAGAGTGTTTGGATGCCGCAATGACATGCATGTTGTAGCAAGGGCAAGGTCCACGTCGAGACAGCACGCCCTGCACGCTGGACCTCGGCAGCGTCTTTGGCGAGGCCGAGATTCGAACGGGCGAGCCTGTGCGGTACACCATCCGCGCGCTCACGCTCTGCCATGTGCTCTTTGTGCGCGCGACCGATATGCAGCACGTGCGCAAGACGACGAATGCGAGCATGGCAAGTCGGTTGTAAGGGTAATACATATAAGACTTATATAAAAGGGGGTTGTCTGCAAACTACTACTGCCTATTCCTACGATTCCTATTGCCTACGAGCGCTAGCATGTGCCTAAACAAGCTTCTCCTTGCCATCCATGGCCTGCTGCGCTGCTGCGGCGGCTTCTTCGCGGTCGAGCGCGGCGATCTCTTCCTTGGTGAGGAAGCGGCCGCCGGGCCCGCGCGGTCGTCGCATCGCGTGCTTGTGGCGCGACGCGTGCAAGAAGGCCTTGCGCTGGCGGGCG